CTCAATATCACATAGATTCACTTTCACCATATCCAACTAGTCAAGGTCGCCCAGATTCAAGGCCAGGGGACATCACCCCTCCTCTCAATGGGGGTGTCAAATAATTTGAAATTGTGTTAAAGTCACCTTCCTTTGTGACCCTTCTATGGGTTGTCAATGGAACGGTATCCTTCTTTGACAGGATTTGGGGTTATATCTCCTCACACTTCACGACAACCAATCATGCCTCTCCCCAGAGGTATGCACACATACACTCACACATGTTCACAGACACAGTCACACAGTCAGAACTGGTACATAAATGCACACATGCAGCCAAGCCTGCCTGATATCTAACCATGTCTCAGGTCAAGGAGACCCAAAGTCCTCCCCTGAGTTCTTTCCTAGGAAGTTAATTCACTGACTATGCCTGCTCCTACTAGTATGAAAGGGGGTGTTGGTAAGAATGAAATGCAGGGCCTCCCCGGTGGCGCAGCAGTTGAGCGCTGGGTTGCGAAGCTGCCCGCGGCCTCTGCGATGCCGGTTCGATCCCCGGCTGCTCCCCGGCCACCAGAGGAGGGTCCCACATGGTGCGCAGACCTCTCCTGCCGCCCGCTGCTCCCCTCAGCAGTGTACTTCGGTCCTTCTGCCTGCTCTGCTCCCCGCTCTGGCTCTGGTGAATTCTCTCACCCTCTCACGCTTCTGACTGTTCCCAGTGCATGTATAAAAACAAAAAACAAAACAAACAAATAAATAAATAAATAAAAAAACATGCCTCTATAAAAAAAAAAAAAAAAGAATGAAATGCAGCAGTCATTGATTGGGAGAGAGGATATAGGTCCAAAACCCACTAACATTTGCCTTTAACATGTCTGTGTGTGTATGTGAATGTCTCCTGATTGGCTCAAGTCAGTAAAGAAATGAGATCTGGTGTTGAAAGCAGGTGGGGGTGGCTCAGACATGTGCTGTAGGGACAAGCCAGCGTGAGATTAAAATTTTGCTGGGGATCAGCCCAAATCCTCACTTAGATAAGCCTGCCGCTCTCCTCCACATTCATCCCATGTCCCAGCCTACTCTCCCTCCCAGTTCCCTGATCATGCTATATTCTTCCATGGCTTTGTCCATGCTGTTCCTTCTACATGGTCTTCTTCCTGACAACCCCAGAATTATCTGCCTTTTGTATTACAAGATATTGTAATTATCTGCTTATACGTGCACTTTTCCCCGAGAGCACAGACCATGCTCTGTTCATTGCTGTATCCTCCGTGCCTGATGCAGAACAGTTATCAACAATACTGGTTGAGCCAGTGGGCAGAGATTGCTCTCAGGTTCAGCACTATTTCTCCTCCACATCTCCACATCTCCTCTAATTTCACTCCAGCTCTCTGGCTACTCTGGGAAGAGTCAGAGGTCTCAGAGGCCAGGATGGAAAGTTTAGGGTGGATTCCTGAGGCCCCAGGGCAGCTCAGCAGAGTCTCAGAAAACAGGAAAGGATGAGATGCTAAGCTGTGAAGGTGTGGTTGCAGACCCAGAGGCATGCACAATCCTAGTGGGAAAAGCTAGAGAATCTTGCAAGTTTTTTCCAGTGTAGGGAAGATGTCTTTAAGTCTTCATATCTCAGATGAAATAGTCTGTAAATGCACCTGCTTCCACTGGGTTGAGTTGGGGTCGTTGTGGATACTTAGATCTGCACCTCAGCCAGCACCTTCTTGGCTTCTGAGGTGGGAGGACAGTGCAGTTGAGAAAAGAGGTAGGGTACTCCTCAAACTTGAATGTCTAAACAAATTGCCTGAGAATGCTATTAAAATTCAGCTTCTGGTAGGTACATATGAAGTCAGCTCCACCAAGATTCTGCTTTTCTAACAAGCTCCCAAGTGATGGCACTGTGTGTGTCAGTGGGGGAGGAGTAGGGCACAGCAGAAAACAGATGGAATAACACTCTTAAGTAGCAATGCAGAAAATTTGCATTAAGATCCAGACAGACACTGAAGGCTCAGGACTCAGAACTTAAAGGGAGTGACTGCCATCAGCAGTGTAAAAACAAACAAAAGTTTAGATGATGCAGGGGGTAATTTAATTTATAAGCGAGCCTGACATCCATCTGGCATGTTTGCCAAACCTTACATTTTTTAATTCCGTGACCATGACAGACATCACTAATGGATCCTAGTACTATTTCCTACTAAACCAAGAGGATGCTTCAGAATACATCTTAGCATAGTATTCCAGGTTGCCATTATAATTAATTACAGTTGGCATGAGAAATGATCCCATTTACTGTTTCAGGTAATGTGGTTGAGTCTGACTGTCTTTGCTCTGCTCTGATTAGCTAGCTAGATGCCCTGGGAACTGCTGCTTCCATGAACTTCAGTTACTTTAATAGGCTGTAATTTGAAGTAAAGATAGCACTCATTTCATAGTTCTTTTGAACATTAAATGCTATTATGAACATATGGTGCTTAGCTTAATGTCTGGCACATAGAAAGTATTCAATAAATGATGACTACCACAGAGGGGTGAATGGGCTGGCTGTGTAATTAGAAGGGATTGAGTGAAGGGATGAAAAAGAGGAAAGCAAGGGAGAGAGAAGTCAGAGTTAAGGGTGGGGAAGAATAGATGGGTAAAGCCTGTACCAGCCTGCAATTGACTGGAAGATTTCCAGTTCTCTCTGGAAGGAATTGGGTTCTCTACTGCTACTTAAGCTCTTTGATTGGAAGAATTGCTTGGCACTTGCCATTTTGAGGTATCTGAGTTCAATACTTCTTACCAAGGAAAACTGTGAAAGACTGAAATGGTCAAAGAAATCACTGTGTGGGGCCTCCCCGGTGGCGCAGTGGTTGAGCGCTGGGTTGTGAAGCTGCCCGCAGCCTCTGCAGCGCCGGTTCAATCTCCGGCTGCTCCCCGGTCACCGGAGGAGGGTCCCACATGGGGCGCAGACCTCTCCTGCCGCCTGCTGCTCCCCTCAGCAGTGCACTTCGGTCCTTCTGCCTGCTCTGCTCCCCGCTCTGGCTCTGGTGAATTCTCTCACCCTGCCGCGCTCTGACTGTGCCCAGTGCTTGTATAAATAAAAATAAAAATAAATAAATAAATAAATAATAAATCTTTAAAAAAAAAAAAGAAATCACTGTGTGTATTTGCAGGCCATCTCCACATTTTATTATCATTTAGATATTTTACAATGATTTTTGTCCATAAAAATGTAAATTGTGACTGGTGGAGATGCAATTGATTACTGCCCAATGGATGTGGCTCGGTTTTGCATTAGACAAATTTATTAAGCATTTTTGATGGTCTAGGTATATTTCTGTTCTTTGGATTCTCCTTTGAACATCTTACTGGTTCATTAATTAATGAGTTAAATGAAATTTTGATGTGTTCATTGTATATTTGTCTGATAATAATCATTCTGCCTTGTAGAAAAAAAAATTTTAACATTTGTACGAGTAGTCAGCTTCCTGAACGCTCTGTCCTGGACAAGCTTTCGTTTTATAAGGGATAGTCTGCAGGGCCTCCCTGGTGGCACAGTGGCGGAGAGCTGGACTGGGAGGCTGCCCACAGCCTCTGCAGTGCCCTGCCCGCAGACTCTGCAGCCCCAGTGAGGGTCCCACATGGCTGCAGACCTCTCATGCTGCTCCTGCTGCTCCCCTCAGTAGTGTATTTCATCAGTCTGCCTGTTCTGTTCCCCGCTCTGGCTCTGGTGAATTCTCTCACCCTCCCGCGCTTCTGACTGTACCCAGTGCTTGTATAAATAAATCTTTAAAAAAAAGAAGAAAAGCAAGAAAAGAAAATAAGGGATAATCTGCAATTTCACTTCTTATACTATCTAAATAAATACATCATGGGCCTCCTGGTGGCACAGGGGTTAAAGTCTCAGCACTATCAAGCTATCCTTAGCCACTGCAGCCTGAGTTCTATCCCCAGCCAGGGAGGTGACCCGCGTGGCCCTGGAGACCTCTCCTGTCTCGATCGCTGCTTCCCTCAGAAGTGTTATTTCTGTAGATCCACCTGTTCTGCTCTCCACTCTGTCTCTGGTGAAGTCTTTCACCCCCACCCCACTTCTGGCCTAGACCCCAGTTCTTGTATGCATAAATAAATAAAAAATAAATCTAAAAAAAATAGATGTACCATGATTCCATATTTGAGCCCAGATACATTCTGAAACATTTATAATCTGAGCTTCTTTAACAAAACACATAACAAACTCACAAGTATCATGCTTACTCCTTACCCTCATTCATTCAACAAGCTAGACAGCCGGCTACATGTGGGCAGGGACAAAAATTCATTTTTGCATCCCTAGAGTTGTTTTTTTAATAATTATTATTTTTTATTTAAATTTTTTTTAAATAGAGGCATGTTTTTTATTTGTTTGTTTTGTTTATACATGCACTGGGTACAGTCAGAAGCGCGGGAGGGTGAGAGAATTCACCAGAGCCAGAGCGGAGAGCAGAGCAGGCAGAAGGACCGAAGTACACTGCTGAGGGGAGCAGCAGGCGGCAGGAGAGGTCTGCGCGCCATGTGGGACCTTCCTCCGGGAGCAGCCGGGGATCGAACTGGTGCCGCAGAGGCCGCAGGCAGCTTTGCAACCCAGTGCTCAACCGCTGAGCCACCGGGGAGGCCCTGCATCCCTAGAGTTTTAACTGAAACCTGCATCATGACAAACACAAATATCTACTGAGCCAACACATGAACGGATAAGCTTAACTAACATTTATTAAGCCCTTACTATGTGCCAGGAACTGTTTCAAACATTTTATTTGAATTAATTTGTTTAATCCTCAAACCAGTCTTGCAAGGTAAGTGTAATTACTACCCCCATTTACAGATAATGCACAGAGAGGTTAATTAACTTGCCCACAATCATCAGCTAACTAGGGGCTGAGGCAAGATTCAAGCCCAGGTAGTTGGCTCCAGAGCCTGTGTTCTTGGGCATCCATTATGTGCTTGGCATACTAAAATAAAAAGATAGATAGACAAATAAATAAATAAATAAATAAATAAATAAATTCTCTCTGATACAGACTCTCCTTCAAAGAGGTCGCAGTCAAGAAAGAAGACAAATCACAACAATGTAATGTTCTGGGACAGGTAAAGAACACAGTATGGGGACAGCATTGGCTGGGGATATGACTCTGCAGAGGAGTCACCTGACCTCAGGTAAGTTCTAAGGCACTACTAGTTAATATGCAGGCTGAGAGAACGGAAGGGCATTCAGGCCACAAGAACAGTGTGTGCGAAGTCACAGAGCATAGTCGGTCCCAGACCATGAATGTTAGAGGCTGGCACAGCACATAGGCATATAAAGAAAAGCAGTGGGATGTGAGACTGGAGAGATAGGAGAGAGACATGGATGTGGGATACTTTATGTACTGAGGGAGGGTTAAAATTGGGACACTCCTTGGAGACCTTGCAGACCCCATACTCTGCCCCCTCCCCACCCATGAGACAGGAGACACTAAACCTAGTACACAGAATTCCCTACAAGCCATATCCTACCCTAGAGAGTTTTCAGGGAGGCCTAGATTGGAAGGAGATGCTAATTGAGTCTGGGATAAACCCAATGCCACCTGGGAGCAGTGTGGCTGGGAATGCTCTCCTTCCTGCCTACAATTCCCAATGATGCCCATCAGCCTGGCCACCTCAGCCTCAAGCAACATGTCACATCCTGGGTGAGGTCACAGATGAGAATTAAGCATCCTCCCTTTCTACATCCCTTACCTGCCCACCTTCTGACTCCCTCATCCTTAAAAGCTGCAGCGCATGTCACACCCCAGGCCCCAGAAGAAGGAGGAAAGGAGACAGGAGCTTCCTGGGGGAGTCCTGGCTCTGGGCTTTGCCCTCCCCTCCCACAGGGCTGAGGCTGGTGATTAGCTGGGTTAATTATATCCAAGTCATTTCCGATTGGCACAAGCCCACCCACCCACAGAGCCTGCCCAGAGGCTTGCAGACCTGATCCTGGGTCAGGATGCCAGCTACCCAGGGAGGGATCCTGACCCTAGACATGGCCAAATGGAGGTGGTTGTTCTCCTTCCAGGACCTCCTTTTCTCCCCCTCTCCCCAAATTAGCTAGTTTCAACACTTCTTACCCCCATCCTCCTTTTCGCCTGTTCCCACACACACCCCTCTCCCTCCCTTCTCCCCCCAGGTTTGGAATGAAATCATGGGGCTCTGAGTTCCGCATGAGGCCCCGACATAAACACTCTGATTGGGGCTAATTATAAGGGCCAGGTTGGGAGGCTGGAGCCTTCAGAAAGCTTGGCTTTCAAACAAAGAGCGCAGGACTCAGCCCCCAGCCCAGGCCGGCTCCTCTCCAGATTTCATTAGGAATAAGGAGGGGGTCCGGGCCAAAGGCAGGCAGTCCTCTCTAAAGCTAATCCGTGGTCTGCGAGCTTCTTCCATGTCCCATCTTGTCCTTTTTCAGCTGCTGTAGCCTTAGCCCTTCCAGGTCTCACATGCCAGCACCTTCACAGATGGCTTGGGGGAGCCACAAGCCTTAAATGGAAGGCGGGGCTGCTGGGGAGGTGGCTTTGAGGCTGTGAGGCTGGGGATGGGGCAGAGCAGAGGAAGGGGGAGTGCAGGGGAAGCCAGCTGTGACAACCCCAGCCCTAATTAGCTAGTTTCAAAGCTGGCTGGAGAGAGGGCCCGCCTGCGTGTGTGCCCTGCTCATTCAGGCGGGTAAGACATTTCTGTCCTAATCAGAGAGAAGGGGGAAAACACTGCCCACCACCTCCCAGAGGAACCTCTGAACAGGACCCTGGGTCGGGTAGAGAAACTGGGAGCCAAGTAAATTATTCTATTAAAACCGCCAGTAACAATAAGTTAGAGAGAGCTGCACATCCTTTGATCCAGTGATTTCCACTTTCAGGAATTTACCCTAGGTAACTGGAAGAGTGCTGCAATTTCTTGAACTTCTACTATGTACTGGTGCTGTAACCTGCATCCTCTCATCTAATCTTCACCAGCACCTTGCTAGACAGGTATTGGGACTCAGGGCTGGCACTGTTTCATGCAAAAGTCTGTTCTTTCTAAATATTGTCTCCAACTTTTCCCCTTTGACAAAGTATTAAACATTCATTACACTCTGCTGCATCTTGGTAACTTGTTTCCTGCAAGAGACAGGATCAACTAGATCTGGGGCCCCAACATCCTCTTAGAGAGCTTTTTGGAATAATCCAGAAGTCAGCAGCTCTAGATTCCACTGATCTTACTCTTTAGGGTAGTTCAGAAGAATTTCATTTTGTAAAACTCTGGTGTCCTTTTCTGGGACTGACACTTAAGCTTACAGAATTAGTAAAGGAACCATTTTCAGGAGGGGAAGTCTGGAATGGGGGAGGAAAAGTAAAAATCTGACCAATCAGGGTTGGGAGTGTCTGCAACAGAAGTGCCCTGACCCTGGAGAAATAGCAGCATCACTCCTTTGTGAAAGGGGGGTGAGGGTGGGAAAGCTGGTAGAAAGCAGTTGAGGTCTGAGACAGGCCGCAGTGAAGGGCTCATGAGCCCCTGACCCCCGCCAGACAAAGTCTCGCTCATCCAGAGGATAGGACCAACCCATTTACAATTGGGTAAATTTTCCTGCCAGTAGGCAATCCAGAAATCTGCAAAAGCAGACTTCCTAGCTCATATTTTTAACCAGGTTTTCCAAACGAGGGAGTGGATATCCCTCTCCAGATGTGACAATGAGCTCAGATGGTTTACCTTTGCTGCAGGGCACTTTCTCCCCTAGTTCTGCACACCTTAGGCTATACTTCCCTCTCTCTAAGAGTCTTTTCATGAAACTAATGAGAGAAGCCCGGGAAAGAGGGCCCTACTACTTTCTGTCAGGTAGTTCAGCCCTAGGCTACCCCTTTGGGGAAAAGGAGGGCATCTAGAAGACAGGCCTATCCCTTCTAAAAGGGAATCAGCTTCTCTATCCTCCCCTACCGGCTCCCCAAAACCCTAGTTTTTCTGATTTCCCAGGTCCTCTTCCCCTAGGTTGGCAGGAGACTCTGAGGTTGAGAAAGAGAAACAATATGTACCAAAATTCCCTCTAGCCCCCCACTCAGGGAAGGAAAAGGTAACTGTTAAGTCCACATCTATCAGCCTGAGGGTTCATTGACATATGTACCCAAAACACAAAGAACTGGGATTCTGGGGGTTTACAGATTGGAGGGAGGAGGGGATGCTTTCCCCCAAATCTTCAACGGAGCCAGCACTCCTCTCCCCACTGGGCTCCATCCCAGCCTCTGGAATTTACACCCCCTCCTCTTTCCTTGCTCCAGCTTCACCACCATTTCCAGGAGAGGCACTCACACTTTGTAATTTAACTCTTTCCTGCAACCCTTGTGGGGTTCCTTGAGAATCTTGCAACAAATGGAGTATAAGGGGAGTGACACCTTGAAAACTGCTTCTTTGATAGAGAATCTCATGTTGAGATTTCACACACATCCTCATTTGAGAAAAAGCTACTTTTAACTTATGTAGGCTACAGCCACAAAAGCTACAGGGGAATATTATATATTTTGGGAAGGGGGCTCAGCTGAAATCCCCTGGCTTCATACAATTCCAAACAAAGCCCCACATACGACTTCAATTACCACCAAACATTTCCAGATCCCCTCCCCCAACATAAACTAACACAGGCAAACCCTTCCAAGCAGGGGTCCTAACTTAACTTTCTCCCTTGTCCCAAAGACAGCTAACAAAGGGTGGTAAGGCACCATTTTCCCCATCACTATTTAGCTTAAAAAAGCAAGGTTTGGGACAGGGAACCCCACCCCCAACCAAGTAGGTCAGGGGGAGAGGGGAGGAGGAGGTGTGGTTTGGTTAAACTAATAAAAAGTTACAACCCTGTTAAATACAATTAAAGGGCTAGATCTCTAGAAGATAATTAAATGCACTTTATTATTATGATTATTAGCTTTTAATTTGCACTATTATCAAGAAACAGGAGATGGTCAAAAATTGAATTATGTGGCATACTTGTTCCACTGCACCCCTTGGTTTTCAAATCAATCTGCTGGAATTAAGTCTAAAATATTCCAAATATTTGAAGAAAATGATGTGTATTGGAAACTGGAGTTCTCATACCAGTGTCAAAGATACTTTAAGAAAAGTCTTGAGTTTTATTTGTGGGGGGTAGGGGTAGATAAGAAACATCTGTTGTAAACATTCTATCCATCTTGTGATATAGAATGTCATGTAAACACTCAACCCCACCCCCACAGTCACAAAGAGTCTGCCCAGAGCCTTCTTCCAAAGCAAAGATACCCACCTTTCTCCCCCCCACCCCACCATTTTCTGGATAAGTTTGAAAAGAAACCAGTCTTTAGGCAAAGAAAAACTGAAAACCCCACCAGCCCATCTGTCCCTCCCTCTAGCCCAACCCATTTTTATTGCTTCTTTTAAACAAAATAACCCCAAAGGACAAAAACTCACACATAACACACAAACCACGCAGCAAACTGGTAACTTGTACTCCAGAGACTATATCTGGTTGGGGGCACCAGCCGCGAGCAGACTGCAAGTGAAGGAAGGGGAGAATCAAGGGCAATCCCTAACCCCAAAATTTGAGAAGAAATACTCAAAGACTAATGCTCCCCCTAAAAAGGGAGGCAGACGGGAGAGGCACTCAAAGTGGTAGTTGTGTGTTGGGGAGGGGGGATGTCTCAAAACACACTTCACAGAGCACTTTCTGCCCACTCAAAGCACAAAAAGAAAAGTGAGAGGAGAGAGCGTCCTGCTTGGAAAGGAGCCAGCCAGAGCCACGGAGGCCATTCCTCAATCTCCTCACTCGCCCCACCGCCCCACCAGCGTGTTTGGGTCTTTTTTTCGTGTTCATCTCCGTTGCGAGGTTCAAGACGGAGTAGAGGAGATGGAACAAGTGAGGAGGTAGTGGGGAAAGAGAAATAACCCCAAAAGAATCCAAGTCCTGTTCAAAAATACCCGACAGCTTCCAAAGGCCCGGCGTCAGTGAGAGGCTGCAAGTCAGGCTTCGGAAGTTGAATGTAACAAGCTCCGAACTCCTCAGGCCAGCAGCAGGCCCGCCCTGCCAACTCACGAAGAGCTCCAGCCCAAGTAGGGGGTGTTTCAAAGGGCCACTAAAGAAGAGGACCCCCTCCACTCCCCTTCACCCCTTCCCTGGGCCCTGGCGCCCCTCACTGCCTTTTTCTTCCCCCTTTTTTTCTCTTAAATAGAAAATATATCATTAAATTTACAAAGACTATTTACAGTTTTAATTACAAACCTGGTGGGGGTGTTGGGCAGAGTTCTTTTTAAAAAGCAACCTAAAAAATAAATGGTTTTGACTGTTCTTTATTTAAAAAAATAAAAATAAGGAGTCTGTAAGGAGCGAGTCCCCCAACGGGGACGGGGGAAAAGCGCGGCGTGGGCGAGGGGTTGGGGGTCCCGCACGAGGCGCGCGGGCGCCCCCTCACACGGTGGTCTCGCCGTGTCGGCTGTTGGTGAGGCGGGTGTAGAACTTCCTCCACGAGTGCAGCGTCTTGCCGGACCAGATCCAGAAGCCTGACGTGATGCCCACGATGAGTGTCATGAGGTATTTGATCATGTAGACTGTGAAGTCGGGCGACATGCGCGGCGTGTAGTGCGCGGGGCACGGGATGGCCAGGCTCTTGCAGTGCTGGCTCACCCACGAGCGCTCCCAGTGCTCGCGGAAGGCCTGCTCGTAGAAGTAGCAGGCGATGACGATCGTGGCGGGCACCGTGTAGAGCACCGAGAAGACGCCGATGCGCACCATGAGCCGCTCCAGCTTCTCCGTCTTGGTGCCGTCGTGCTTCATGATGGTGCGGATGCGGAAGAGCGACACGAACCCGGCCAGGAGGAAGGACGTGCCTATGAACAGGTACACGAAGAGCGGCGCCAGCACAAAGCCCCGCAGCGGGTCCAGGCTGTTGAGGCCCACGAAGCACACGCCGCTCAGCAGGTCGCCGTCAATCTGGCCCATGGCCAGGATGGTGATGGTCTTGACCGCGGGCACGGCCCACGCGGCCAGATGGAAGTACTGTGAGTTGGCCTCGATGGCCTCGTGACCCCACTTCATGCCCGCCGCCAGGAACCAGGTGAGCGACAGGATGACCCACCAGATGGAGCTGGCCATGCTGAAGAAGTAGAGCATCATGAAGAGGATGGTACAGCCCTCCTTCTTGGTGCCCTGGACCACGGTGCGGTAGCCGTCCTCCGAGAAGCGCTCGTTGCACACCACACGCTCCTGCAGCACGAAGCCGGCGATGTAGGCCACCGACACCATGGTGTAGCAGCCGGAGAGGAAAATGATGGGCCGCTCGGGGTAGCGGAAGCGCTGCATGTCCACCAGGTAAGTGGTGACAGTGAAGAAGGTGGAGGCGCAGCACAGCACCGACCAGGTGAGGATCCAGAGGCGCGCGAAGCGCGTCTCCTCCTGGGAGAAAAACATGGAGCCGTCCGGCCGCGCCGGCTCGCAGGGCGCTGCACAGTCGCGCTCGCCGAGAAATTTGTAACTGAGATAGGACGGCACCTTGAGGACGCGGGGACAGTGGAAAGGGTGCTCCAGGGTGGCGTAACGCGGAGGCGAACCGCCGCCGCCCGGGCCGCCCGGGTGCCCCCAGCACCCGGCTGCAGGCCCGGGGGCGGCGCGGTGGTGAGCAGCGCGGGCGCGCCGTCCTCGGAGTGGTTCTGGCCCACGCAGATCTGCTCCGCGCCGTGGCGCGGGAAGTGCTCGCAGCGCAGGCGCTCGGGCCACTGGAAACCGAACTTGTTCATGAGCGCCTCGCAGCCCTGGCGCGCGCGCTCGCAGATGGAGCGGCACGGCGGGATGGCCTGCTCCAGCACGGTGCACACGGGCGCGTACATGGAGCACAGAAAGAAGCGCAGTTCGGGCGAGCACTGCACCTTTACCAGCGGGTAGAACTGGTGCACCTCCAGGCCCGCGTCCTCCTGATTCGTGTGGCCCAAAAGGTTGGGCATGATGGTCTGGTTGTAGGCGATGTCCGTGCACAGCGGGATGGAGATGGGCTGGCAGAAGCCGTGGTCCGGGATGGAGATGCCCTTCTCCCCGTGGAACTGGGCTGGCCCGGCGGCGGGCAGCAGCAGCAGCGGCAGCAGCAGGCGGGGCAGGGCGCTGCGGGGCCGCATGCTGGCCGCCGCCCCCCACCCGACCTCCGGGCGCCCCCCCGCCCCCGCCCCCAGCCCCAAGACCGCGCGCCTTCCCCGCCGCCGCCTGGTTGCGGCCGCCGCCTCCCGCGCCTCTTTGCAAACTTTGCTCGCGGCCGCAGAGTTGGGGAGGCCGGGCGGGGGGGCGGCGCGCCTGCCCGCTAGCTCGCCGGGGTCCGACTGAGCCGCCCGAGACGCCGCGCTCCGCCGGCCCCCGCGCGCCTGCCTCCTCCTCCTCGCGCCTCTCCCCTCCCCGCCCGGCCCAGCGACTCCTTTGTGCCTTCCTCCAGGCCTCACCCCGGCCTCGCCGATCCCAATTAGTCGGTTTCAAGGGGGCCCCCACCGGTGGCCCCGCCCTGTCCTCAGCCCCCCAAAAAAAAGGGATCCTTGAAACCGCCCCGTCGAGCTCTAAGCACCAGCCCAAAATGTGCTCCCGGCCAATCAGATTTGAACCCGAGGACCAGCCCGGAGGGCGGGATTGGTCGGCCACTGCATAATGAGATCAGAAACCAGATGCCAACAAAACTTTCCCCCCCACCCCGTTTTGCTTTTTAAAGAGACAAGCTACGACTACCGCGAGGGCTGCCGGCCCCGCGCGGGGTTGCTCCGGAGTCGAGGCGGCGGGGTCCCGAGACACTCATTCCCCAGGCCCGCGGGGGACCCGCACCGCCCCGCTCTGCCCCCCCCCGCTTCTTCCGGGGCCAGGGCGCGCTCCCCGGTAGGGGCTCTTTAAATCTTTGCCGACGCCGCTGCTCCTGGAGCCCCACCTATTTCAATCCAATTTTTCAGACCAAGTGAAAAACCTCAAGTTTAAATATACTTTAAAAGGGACTTGAAAATTAAGTGCGCGGAGACTCCTCGCAGCCTCTTTTCATGAAGCCCGAACAGAAGTTTTCCTTCTCCGGGTGTAGACCCTTGGGAGCTTGCCTCGCCCCTCCCCCTGCACACCCTTAAATAACCCTCTGGAAAAAGGAAAGCCTGTCACTTTAAGAGGCTCTTAAAGGGGCCTGGACTCCGGGGCGTAATTGCCCCGTAGCGAGCACAAAGAAGCCCATTATGGTTCTTTGTGTTCGGTGGCACCTCAAAGTGAGAAAACTCAGGAACTCGGAGGCCCGGAGCTGGAGGGTTGGGGCAGTGGTGCGAGGGGGCGAGGTGAAGGACAATGGTCTGGAGCTGCGGCTTCTCCCTCCTCCTTCTTCCGAGGCAAATCTTAATTATGCAAAGTAAAGTTTAGTTGCCATAACGAGGAGGTCTTAATCGAAGGTTAATGGTGGGGGGTGGGGGGATGCCGGGCAGCTTGAGTGAAGAGGTGACTTTCTTACGCCGTTTGGGGGAATTTTCCTCCTCTCCCCACCTCTCCCTCCACCCCCTAAACGCTTTCAGATATGGTCTCCTGGGAGAGAGGGGAGTTTTATCCAAACCTTATGTGATTCCACACCAGAAAAGGGTAGTGTGGGGCGAGGGGGAACTAGGGAGGCAAGGATGAGGCTGGAGGCTTGGAGTGGTTAATCTCCCACCACCACCCGACTCTCACCTGGTCAGGGGCGCGTGGCCAGGCCAGCAGGGTTCCTGCTAGTTTAGAAAGCTTTTCCCGTTTTGTTTTGTTTTGTTTTTCTTTACTTCTAGGATTTTAAATGGGGGAGGGGTGGGAGTAGAAGGGAAATTTGCATGTAAATCCCTGGGTCATAGTCCTGGATGATGGATCAATTATTTCTATTGTCTCTCAGGAGTGAAGGGGGAACACACACACACACAAAAAAAAAAAAAAAAAAAAGAAAGAAAGAAAGAAAGAAAGAAAATTGAATTTAGAAAACCTCTTTGAAAAAAAAAAAAAAAAAAAAAGAAAACCTCTTTGCCTGTCTGTATGGACCAAATCCTCCGGCCCAGGGAACTGTTTCCTCCTCCAATCTAGAAAAGGATTGCTTTCAAGCAAAACCCAAGACATTTGAAAGAAGGAAGGGGTCAGCAGAAGACAGTTCTCAATAGATACGTATAACAGATCAGGGTGTGACAGGAATCTATTTTTTCCCCTCATTGATGATATAAAAATTTTTAGATTCTTCACAATCTGAAAATGCTCTCTCTGGTATCTTGGGGAAGTTGCCTTTTACCACGTGAGGAAAAACATTTTCCTTCGAAATCATTCTATTCCATTTCCATTCCACTGGTAAACCCCTATCCCATCCCTTCCCCCCACCCCCAGCAGGGTGCTCTCCTGGTTGTGGGGCCCAAATGAAAGCTGAGGTGCTGCTATTTCAGCTCTCCCCTCCTACTGTACCTCCAGGGCATCATTAAGAGTTGGTCCCAGGCCTCAGGGCTGAGTGGTAAAAACAGAAAAGAGTAAGATGGGCTCCTAACCCCACCCCCGACTTAGGGAGCACCCCCCCCACACTGATAGGAAACGCAAAGCAAATCTCCGATTGAAACACAGCGTCTTCAATTTCCTTCCATGACAAAACCATTTTCCTGCTCTAGGGCCAGACGTGAGTGACCGTTATCCCTTCCTCAGCCACCTCCAAGGCAGAGAGGGAGCTGGAACTGGCTAAAAATTATTAAAACATTAAAACACGTTCTTTCACTCACTCAGTCATCCTTTCATTTCTTCGGACACATTTTTTATTTAGTCTTCTGATTTCAAACCACTGTAGCAGGTGTTCTAGGAACATGGAGTGAACTGGCAGCATCCCTGCCCTTCAAGAGTCTAAGGTGTCACCAAAGAAAAGTGGCTTCAAAGATCTTACATTGTGGTCCTCCCTGGTAGCGCAAGGGGTTAAGACACAACCTATGAAGCTGTCCCCAGCCACTGCAGCATGAATTCGATCCCTGGCCAGGGATCTACTCACATGGCACAGCAGACCTCTCCTGACTCACCAGCCTCTCCCCTCAGCAATATATTTCAGTTAATCTGCCTGTTCTGCTCCCCACTCTGTTTCTAGTGAATCCTCTCACCCCCTGGCCCCAGCACCTCTGGCCTGTGCCCCAGATCTTGTATGCATAAATAAAAATAAATCTTTTTTTAAAAATCTTACATTGAGCATGTTTGCATGAAATAAGAAATCATAATCAAAATAACTACAGCCCTGGTTACTCTTACTTTCATGTGAGGGACCTGTGTGAACATGACCAGAGCCTGTGTCTCCACATGGCAGGCCTATCTGCCTTCCCACCACAGGAGACCCATAACTGAAGGCAGAGAACAGGTTCTTTCAGTTTAAAAGCTTCAGGATGTCATTTGATAGAACACCTAGTTTTGAGTTTTCTTTTAAATTACTTTGAATATTGACTTGCACCTGATCCCTGACTGAAACACTAGCTGTGTGGCCTTGGGAGGGTCCCTTTGTAACCTAGTTCAGTTCCTTCTCCGGGTGGGTATCTGGGCCCAGTAAAGGACACTGCCCTAATAGAATGCACAAAGGACAAGTACTTGTTTGCTCGTGACAAGAACAAGAGACAGTGAAGGAAACTGTCTCAAAGAGGGGACAGAGAGATAAAGTTACACAGTCTCCTTTTTTTTTTTTTTTTAGTATATGTGCTGCCGAAGCAAACGCTCCTTTTTTTTTTTTTTAAGATTTATTTATTTATGCATACAAGAACTGAGGTGTGAGGTGTAAGACAGAGGTGTGGGGTATGTGTGAGAGGATTCACCAGAGATAGTGGGGAGCAGAACAGGCAGATCCACTGAAATACACTGCTGAGGGAGCAGTGGGCCAGGCAGGAGAGGTCTGCTGTGACAGCCTGATAGGGCTGGGTCTTTAACCCCTGCGCCACCAGGGAGGCTCCTACACAGTGTTCATTAATGCAGGAGGGGGTCTTTAGGCATTTGTCCGGTCCCCCGCTGGCATCTTCTACTCCTTTAGCCTCCAGCCACCCCGAGGTCTTCAAAAACTACCTTTTTTTTTTAAAGATTTATTTATTTTTATACAAGAGCTGGGGTACAGGCCGGAGGCGCGGGAGGGTGAGAGGATTCACCAGAGACAGAGTGGGGAACAGAACAGGCAGAAGACCGAAATCCACTGCTGAGGGGAGCAGTGGGTGAGACAGGAGAGGTCTGCGGTGCCATGTGGGATTCTCACTGGCCAGCCGGGATCGAACCCATACTGCAGAGGTTGCGGACAGCTTCACAGTGCTGCGCTCAACCCGCTGCGCCACCGTGGAGGCCCCAAAAAACATACCTTTATGGAAACAAAAAAGCTCATCCTATACCTGATTGTTAGCTCATCTAGGTTTTATTTATGGGCACATTTATTTATGTGTCCAAGGGGACCTGTGCCTGGTGACCTGGACCAACAGGGAACATTTCTGACATGTTATTACTTTGAGCTCACAACTTCACTTCTTCAAGCCATACTTTCTCCATCTGTAAAGTGGGAATAAACCAACAGACTTAAAATGTGAAAGTTGGCGGGGAGGCCTCCCTGATGGTGCAAGGGGTTAGATTTCAGCAGTATGAAGCTATCTGCAGCCACTGCAGCATGAGTTTGATTCCAGGCCAGGGAGCAGACCTCTCCTGTCTTGCCCGCCGCTCCCCTCAGTGGTGTATTTCAGTAGATCTGTCTGTTCTGCTCCTCACTCTGTCTCTGGTGAATCCTCTTTCTCTCTCTCTCTCTCTCTCTCTCTCTCACACACACACACACACACACACACACACACACACACACACACACCCAGCACCCCTGGACTACACCCCAGTTCTTGTATGTATAAATAAATAAATCTTTGAAAAAATAAATAAGCAGGGACCTTAAATATGGTGCACACACTGTCTGGGCTCCAGGAGATGTGGACGCACAGGAGGATTTAGGGAAGTGGTCACACTTAAGTTCTAGATAGTACATTTGGACAGTTGTGAGAGCATGAAATACCAGTTTTGATCTAGGGATACCAGTTAAGAGCAGATTGCTAAGGATCAGGCAGTTGGTGAGGCATGAACTGAGCTGTGGTCATGTAGATGGAGAAGAGAGAAAGGGAGGAGGTTTCTGATC